ACTGAGCCCTGAGCCCTGCCCTGCTCACGCCCTGAGCCCTGAGCCCTGCCCCGCCCTGCTCATGCCCTGAGCCCTGAGTCCTGCCCTGCTCATGCCCTGAGCCCTGAGCCCTGCCCTGCTCACGCCCTGAGCCCTGAGCCCTGCCCTGGTCACATACAGCCCTGAGCCCTGGCCCCTGCCACAGACTGAGCTCCTGCCCTGGCTGGGTACGCAGGTCCTCAGAGACCTCAAGAAGGCTCCAGATGGCTCACTCACTGCTCCTCCCACTCCTTAGGGCTGGGTGACAGATCTAGTCTGTGGGAGTCAGAGCCAGGTCCTGGCTCAGAGATTCCTGGCAACTGGGCCAGAGGAGGTGGAAGGGCAGCTGGTCCCTGACCTTCTGAAGACCAAGCATGTGACACACCTTCTCTGGTACCCGGACTTCAGGTGTAGAGCAGACACTTCTCTGAGTACCTCCCCCCCGCCCCGTAAAGTGTCCTTAGAGAAGCAGAGAAGCTGTCCCTCCCTACCCTGCAGCTCTGTCCCCTCCCCTCCACAGGGACCTGCTCCACCTCCCTCTCCTTGCCAGCCCCCTTCCGTTTCCCTCCTCCTCTCCCTCCCGGCCTTTCCCAACCCAGATACACATCACACCCGGCCCCCATTTGGTGTCCTCAGCCGGCTGTCAGCTAATCCCTGCAGGGGTGTTAACTGATAATTAAGATGTTAGCTGTAAACTTAACTGTGATTCCCTGCCAGGAGTATTTTGGTTTTAACAGGTTGCACTGGAAACGGGAAAACCTTCAAGACCCAGCCAACAGCAGGGGGCAGGGGAGGAGGGATATAGAGTGGGGTGTGGGGAGTATTTTGTGCTTGGAGCCTTCCCAGCTTCCCTGAACCCTCTCCTCACTTCCCCTTCACTGAGAGCCTGTGGGCTCAACCCCATGCCTAAGAGCTCTTGGTTTCCATGTCTGTAAATGGGCAGGCAGAACACCAGCCCTGCAAAATCATGGTGCAAACTGCCCAGCACACAGGAACCCCGACATGTGAGAGTTCTGTGAGCACTCCCGTGGGCCCTGACTTCCCGTTGCCTCTTTTGTCACTGAGGGGAACTGGGTCTGCTTCCACTCCCCGCCTGCTCACACTACTCCCGATCAATCACCAGTCTATTCTCTCAACTTCCTAAATCTCTCCCCAGGCAAAGATCAATGGCATCGAACAGCAAGCTCTGGATGGACATGAGACTATGGGGACATTTAGCAGATGACAGGAATGGCGCTTCAGAGCAGCAGGGAATACACTAAACAGTGTCAAAACAACTGGCTAGTCATTTGGAAAAACCCACTTAGATCCCTACCTCACACCACACACACACATCCCAGATCAACTAGAGACTTAAATATTCTTAAATCTCACAAATGACTAGAAAACAATATAGGACATTTTAAAAATTTGGCAGTGGGTAAGACCAGAAACTCTACAGAAAAAGTATGACAGATTCGACCATGGGCTAATTTTAAACTTTTGAGGAGTTAAAAGGAGGGGGAAAAAAAAAAAAAAACCACACACACACATAAATTTTAATGACAAAAACCCCAAAAAACAAACCTGTGAAAATGATTTGCAACACATAACAGAGTTAAAGCCCTTATCCTCTTATAAATCAATTTCTTCTTGTGAATCAATAAGATGTCTTTCACTGCTCTTCCCCCCCCCCCCATTCCCCATCACTGAAAACAAGGTCGCTGCAGGCCCCCGGCTGATGCAATAATCAATGTTCAATTGGCCTCCTATGTTCCTTCCCAGCCCCATTTTATACATGCTGGGGCCATGTCCTTGGCTTCCAGGATGACACACCCTCTCCACCTCACTGGTCATTCCTCCTCCACCACTTTGTCAGTTCCTCCTCAGCCCCCCTCACCACGGTCCCTGATAGGTCACTGGTCTTTCCTCTGGCTTCTCTCTGTACCTGCACCCCCCCACACACACACGCTCCTCAATCTCATGGCTTTGAACCCTGTCCTTTGCTGGTGACCTTGAATTTGTATCTCCAGCCCAGATCTGTCCCCTGAACTCCAGCCTCATGTCCTGCTGCCACCTTGACAGTTCCACTTGGAGGTCTGGGGCCTCTCATGTGGCTCTCTATCCCACAGCTGGAGCCTGCCTGTGGTTGTGGCCTGCTCAACTGTGACTCCCACCGTAAATTCTTTTTCTTTTGTCATAGGGCACATGCGCTCACCAGAGAGACAGGAGCGTGAAAGTGAGAAACCATCCCACAGGTGATCGTGGGTATGCACGCGCATGCACCTGGTGTGATGTGGGAGCCCAGCGCCTTCACCGCCATGCCATCTGCTGGCCCCTCCTCGTACGCAGATATATTTAACGACGACGACAATAAATCTCCGTGTTGCTCTGGGCCCCACAGCCCACCCTGCCCGTAGCGGAGCCCCTCCTGTTCCCGTCACACCTGCTGTTCCTCACCCTCCCATAGAGAGGGGGGCAGCCTGCCTGTCAGTGATGACCCCACCCCTCTCACCCCAAGACCCTCGGAGTCACGGGTGGCCATCTCCTCCCTCCCTCACACACTTCATCCATTCTGCTGGCAAATCCCACGGGGCTCTACCTCGAATGTGTTTCCAGGACCCGCCCATTTCCACCCCTCCATCAGAATCCCTAGTCTGAATCCCCCTTTCCGCTCTGGATCGTCACAGCCAGCAGCCTCCCACTGGCCTGCTTCCCAGTTGTCACTCAGACCACACTGCGCCCTGACTCAGAACCTCCCGTGGTTCCCTGACCAGTGCCGAGCAAAAGCCAAAGCCCTCTGGTGGCCCCAGGTCGCGTGATCGGTGCTCGGTCCCCCGTGGGCTCCTCGCCTGCTCTCTGCCCCTCACACTGATCCAGCCACAGTCTCCTCCTCACCGTCCCCAGCAGGCCAGGCCTGCCCCGGGTCAGGGCCCCGGCACTCGCTGTTCCCTCCACCTGGAACACGCTTCCCCAGACATCCGCTGACTCACGCTTCACGCGGGTCTTTACCTGAAGGCCACCTCTCAGCGAGCCTTCCCGGCCGGCCGCATCCAAGCTGCCCCTCTCCCCTCCAGTCTCCCTCCTCAGCACTAAAGCTGCCACCGCGCCCTGGGTTTCACCGTTCACCTGTCTCCTCGCCGTCTTCCTCCACTAGCGGTAAACTCCACAGAGCAGGTACTATTTGTTAGTCCAAATCGCTGACGGGTCCCGAACCCACTCAGCACCCAACGCATAGTAGGTACTCAACAAATAATGAACGGCGAAATGAATGACACATGCAAAGGGAAAGGGGCCGAGAGCCCGCATGACCAGACTATTCACGGATGAGAAAGTGCGATCGGCCGGCGGGTGCACGGGGATACGCCCGGCCCCTCAGCGACCACCGGCCGCGAAGCAGAGGCATTTGCAGGTACGGGGCTGGCAGGAATGGAGGCGACGGAGGATGGTACAGCTGGCAGGGTCAGGAGACCAAGCCTCTTACACACGGGGTGTGAGAACCTAAGTCAGCCCGACCTTCCGGAGGCAGATAAGAGGTGAGGCCCTCTGCCCTGGACAGCCCACACCCAGGAACCTCCCCCGGGACAGGGCGCACGTGCACACAGGAGTTGCCGGGTGAGGTTTATAAACAGCCGGACGCTGGACATACCTATGCAGTCCCTGACAGGGTAAATAATCGATAAATAATTTATAGGCCGTCCCTATGGAGGAGGCAGAGGCCAGGGAAGAACCCGGACGATCCAAAAGTGACAGCGTGGCATCGCTGGTCTGGCCCGCGTCTGTTCATCTGAAATATGTATCTGTAAGTGCGCCGGAAAAGGCCTGGAAGGACGTACATCAGACAGCGTGGTCGGCCCTCGGGAGGAAACGGGGAAGGAACCTGCTCGCAGCCCCTCTAGGTCGGTCGGCAGACGGTGCAGAGACCATTATTTTAACAACCAGGAAAACGGTTCCCCTCCGGGAGAACTCACCTCCTACGGCTCCCCAGTAGTAATGGACGCAGGGACAGGACTTTCAGAGCCCTCGGTCGCCTCATCCCCGTGACCCGCCACCCCCACCTGGCACCCCCAAGGTTCCGAGCTCATGAAACCGTTTTCTAGCCCCAGCTCCCTTCTTGGTTCCAGGCCATGTCCCAGCCCCTGTCACAGGTGCAAAGGCCCGGCCAGCCCGGGACCACTGCGGCCAGCCCTGCCGTCAGAGAGCAGGGGAGACAGGAACGCACGGCGCATCTCAGGCTGGAGCGCTGCCCCAGCCTCCGGGGACAGCCCAGGTCTCTGTCCCCGGGACGCCCGGCGGGCAGTGCTGGCCCTGCTGCATACCCATCACGGCACAGGCACAGAGGACGCGAGGCCAAGCAGGCCCAGGAGGAAGGGGACGGGGTCCGGCCCACACCGAGGCTGCCAGAGTTAGCAAATGAAGCTGCTGCAGCCAGGGACACGTTTACAGCGAAACACTCCTCGTTGTCGGCCTAGGGCTCACCTTGCAGATGAAGTCTGTTCCTGACGACCCGGGCCCCCACGTCCCCCCAGCCTAGGGACACTTGGCACCAAGCAGGAAGCTTTGCCTGGGCCACCCAGGAGAGTGGAGGAAAGGCCAAAGAGACCAAAGCCCAGAGGGCGCTTTCTGTGTGGGAGCACTCCTGCCCCGGGGAGTCCCTGGGAGCCTGCCTGGTGACAGAGAAGGGGCAGAACCTCCATGCAAAGCCTCCGACAGCCAAGTGCTTGGTAGGCACATCGGAAAACACATCCCAAGTGACCTGTGGAACTGTGGTCCCAGTGCCCTGGAATGCAGCCCAGTGAGGGACGCTAGCACTGAGCGGCCACCTTCTCCAAGAGCCCCTGTCACTGGGGCCTTCCCCTCACGCTGTGTCCCCCACCATTGCCCCTGGCAGGGCTCATTCTCCCAGGGCCAGCTTGGGTCAGGGCACTTAGTCCTCACACCGGCGCCCTTCCACTGGGTCAGCACAGAGGCACGAGGCAGGGTGGTCCCGTCGCTCTTCCTACCTGGGTCAGACGGCACCGGGAGGCAAACAGAGCGGCCTCAGGGGGCCCGGGGAGCGGCAGCCTGTCCGTCGCGGGCCCAGCATGCACTGTAAGGAAGGGCAAGAAGGTCATTGCAGGCAGAGACAGGGCTTCCCGCTGCCTTGGGGTGCCCCGCTCAGCGGGCCCGGGACTGCCTCCCACCTCAGCATGCACCCGTGGGCACCAGCCTCCCTGGCCCTTCCCCAGAGCCCGGAGTGGACAGCCCTGGGTGAGCACGACCCAGGAGCCTAAACTCCCTGACCTGGCGCTCCTGGTCCTGCCCGAACCCCTCCCTTCTCACTGCCTTTTGTGGTCCTCCACGGGTCAGCCCCACCTTCAGTTTGGTTCACAGCTAGACAGCCCCCCGTTCCCTCTGAGGTCCTCCACGGGTCAGCCCCACCTTCAGTTTGGTTCACAGCTAGACAGCCCCCCGTTCCCTCTGAGGTCCTCCACGGGTCAGCCCCACCTTCAGTTTGGTTCACAGCTAGACAGCCCCCCGTTCCCTCTGAGGTCCTCCACGGGTCAGCCCCACCTTCAGTTTGGTTCACAGCTAGACAGCCCCCCGTTCCCTCTGAGGTCCTCCACGGGTCAGCCCCACCTTCAGTTTGGTTCACAGCTAGACAGCCCCCCGTTCCCTCTGAGGTCCTCCACGGGTCAGCCCCACCTTCAGTTTGGTTCACAGCTAGACAGCCCCCCGTTCCCTCTGAGGTCCTCCACGGGTCAGCCCCACCTTCAGTTTGGTTCACAGCTAGACAGCCCCCCGTTCCCTCTGAGGTCCTCCACGGGTCAGCCCCACCTTCAGTTTGGTTCACAGCTAGACAGCCCCCCGTTCCCTCTGAGGTCCTCCACGGGTCAGCCCCACCTTCAGTTTGGTTCACAGCTAGACAGCCCCCCGTTCCCTCTGAGGTCCTCCACGGGTCAGCCCCACCTTCAGTTTGGTTCACAGCTAGACAGCCCCCCGTTCCCTCTGAGGTCCTCCACGGGTCAGCCCCACCTTCAGTTTGGTTCACAGCTAGACAGCCCCCCGTTCCCTCTGAGGTCCTCCACGGGTCAGCCCCACCTTCAGTTTGGTTCACAGCTAGACAGCCCCCCGTTCCCTCTGAGGTCCTCCACGGGTCAGCCCCACCTTCAGTTTGGTTCACAGCTAGACAGCCCCCCGTTCCCTCTGAGGTCCTCCACGGGTCAGCCCCACCTTCAGTTTGGTTCACAGCTAGACAGCCCCCCGTTCCCTCTGAGGTCCTCCACGGGTCAGCCCCACCTTCAGTTTGGTTCACAGCTAGACAGCCCCCCGTTCCCTCTGAGGTCCTCCACGGGTCAGCCCCACCTTCAGTTTGGTTCACAGCTAGACAGCCCCCCGTTCCCTCTGAGGTCCTCCACGGGTCAGCCCCACCTTCAGTTTGGTTCACAGCTAGACAGCCCCCCGTTCCCTCTGAGGTCCTCCACGGGTCAGCCCCACCTTCAGTTTGGTTCACAGCTAGACAGCCCCCCGTTCCCTCTGAGGTCCTCCACGGGTCAGCCCCACCTTCAGTTTGGTTCACAGCTAGACAGCCCCCCGTTCCCTCTGAGGTCCTCCACGGGTCAGCCCCACCTTCAGTTTGGTTCACAGCTAGACAGCCCCCCGTTCCCTCTGAGGTCCTCCACGGGTCAGCCCCACCTTCAGTTTGGTTCACAGCTAGACAGCCCCCTGTTCCCTCTGAGGTCTCATGGCCACCATCAAGTCCTTTACGTACGTGTCCACAGTCCCCAGCACCCCTCAGCCCAGGATGCCCGGCTCCTGCCCTCAGCAAGGTCCCCAGGACCACTGTACACCCCCAGTCTCCCATCTCGGCCCGTCCATCTTCTGGGAAGCACTCTCTCCCACCCCTCCCTGGCCTCGTGGTACCCCTCCCTCCTCTCTCCCCCACTCCTCCCAAGCATTCTACGTGCACTCCGCTTCCATGGCCCCCTGCCTGTACCCTCTGCTGCAAACTGCACTCAGGGGAGAGCCAAGCCCTTAACCCGGCCCCCTGGGCACTACCCAGTTCGGCCACATGGGGCGCCCTCTCTCCTGGCTCTTTCTCTAGGTTTCATGCTGGCACCTGCTCAGAAGCCTGACCCCCCCTCACCGTGTGTGTCCCCCCATTACCTCATCACACGCCCCCATCGGCCCATTTGTCATTTGGGTTCCCTGTTCCGACAGCCCCTCAGCGAGCGTTTTTGCCATCGGGTTTGTCGAGGTATCACTGCCTACAGTGAAATTCACCCGTCCTGGTGCACGGGTCTGTGGTATGGCCACAGCGCCACTGCCACGACCAAGGCACCGGACGCTAGTCGCCCCCAAATCCCTACATGTCACCTCTCGGACTCCGGCAACCACTGACCTGTGCGCTTACCCAGAATGCCATCCAGTCACCTACGTGGCCTGAGCCTGGCCTTCCGCACTGGGCGTGATGCACCTGCGGGGGCCTGCCCTGTTCGTCCCGGGATTCGTTCTCTGTTAGTGCCGGGCAGTGACCCTTGGTTTATTCGCTCCCCAGCTGGAGGACATCAGGGTTATTTCCACTGGGGGTGTGAATAAGGCCACTGTAAATATCCAGGTACAGGCTTCCGCATGGCCGTCAGGTTTTCTCTCTCGGATGGGTATCCAGCAGCAGGATGGCTGAGCAGGACAGTCAACCTGTTGTTAATTTTAGGAGAAGCCGCCATGCTCTTTTCCAACACTGTACCATTTTCATCCCCACCAGCAACCTCTGAACGCTCCTGATGCTGTGTCCTTGACGACATTTAGGACTGTCGACTTCTAAAATGTCAACGAAATGACATGCAGTAGTCCCTCACTGCGGTTTTAGTTTGCGTTTCCCAGATGACTGATGAACGTATTTCTGTATGCCTGGTTCGTTTTTTTTTTCAGTCCATCACCATTTTAAATGATCTTTTTTTCCATTTTTCCCATAGGGCACCCGTACTCGCCAGAGTCAGAGAGAGGGAAAGTGAGAAGTCACCGGACGGTCTGCTCCAGCACTGGCCGGTCGCGGTAGAAATGATGGAAGGCGCCTTGACGTCATCGGCAGGAACTCTGCCAGGGTGGTTGGATCTAAATTGGTGAAACAACTTTCCTTCTGCCACTTACATCTCTGAGACCACCAGCAAGTCACTTAACCTCTCTGGGCCTGCTTTCTTATCTGGTAGGCGGGATTAAAGAGCGTGTGCACACGTGTGTGTGGAGGGTGCCTCATACAGTACTTGGTAGAGAGTAAATACTCCAGAGTACATCCCCCCATGGGGCCACAGGACAGATGCATGGCTCTGGAGGGTCTCTGAGCACATACATAGAACACGCCCCGTGTGTGCATGCGTGTTCACACACGCACATGGGAAGCACATCTGTGCACCTGCTGCATTTCCCTCCCTAGAGCCATCCCCAACTCAGGGGCATCAGCTACACAGTCCCCAGGCGCCACTCCAGAGTCCCCCAACCTCCTGTCCCCCAACACAGCCAGCCGACCCTGACAGCTCCAGCTCTCTCCCCTCCGCCCAGGCATGGAGGCCACGCTGCTCTCTGGTCTCTTCCTCGTGATGCCCTGCACCCGCTGCCACACGGTGGCAATCAGGGGACCGTCCCCAGTCACTGAGCTGACCTCGTCCCCGGCTCCACTTTTTAAAACGCGTGCCGCAAGCTTCTCCAAGCCAGACGTGAAACTCCCGAGGGAAAGTCTGACAGCTTTGACTAAATCGAGATCGAAAGCTTCTAGATGGCCAAAGATGCCAGAAACGGAGTCAAAAAGACGAACGGCAGGCCAGGGAAAACATTTCCAACACACAAGACGGATGCAAGTTTTTAAATTCTCAATATTCTAACAGCTCCTTTACATCAATACGAAAAAAGCAAAAACTAAAGGAAAATGAGCAATGGGTAGGAACAGCCAATTTACGGAGGGAAAACACGCTCGGCCTCCCTGGGCAGGGGGGAAGTGAGTGCTGGAACCACAGCGAGATCTTTCTCGCGATCGGCCAACATTGGACAGAGCGAGCTGTCTGGTGCAGAGGATGGGTGGGAAACGGTCCGGCTCGGACACCAAGAGTGGGAATATAAAGTAGTCTGACCTTCTGGAAGAGCCATGGGCTACACCTGTTGAAACTTAACAAACCTACCCTTGGCCCCAGCAGCTGCACCCCTATTGAGCCGTCGGAAAAGTCATGATGTGTTTTTCTATGCAAAGATGTGTCACGACCTTCCCAATGACCCCCGACAGAATCTCTCCACAAAACGCTCGCCTGTGCCAGCGAGATGCACCACGACTGCTCACCGCAGCCTCTTGGCAAGAGTGGAAAGTGGAAGCCAACCTAAACGCCCACCAGCCCAGGCTGTGTCCGCACGACGGAATGCTAGGCAAGGATGAAAATGAACTGTAGGTCTGCAGCTGACACTGCCGTGTGCTCACCAGACCTGGGGAAGTGACAAGTGGAAGCTGCGGAGTAACGTGTATTTTAAAAAATAATATAGGGGACCAGCAGGTGGTGCGGTGGTTAAGACGCTGGACACTCCCACATGGCTAATCCTGGTTGAGTCCCAGACCTGGGGCTTGCTTTCTCGCTCTCTTGCTCTCTCTCTCTGGTCAAATTAAAATAAATGAATGAGTGAATAAATAAAATTGAATAAATAATTCTTTAAAAATAATATAAAGATGGGTTTTATTTATTTATGAAACATTTTGCTATAGGGTGCATGCACTCACTGGAGAAAAAAGCAGAGAGACACAGAAGGCAAGAAATTACCCTCCAGGGGGGAAGGCCATGCTATAATCCCTTTTCCTCCATCCTCCTCTCAGGATTTTGGGCCTGTCCGCAGATAGGCCCAGCATGAGTTTTAATCCACTGGGTCCGGGACTCGAACTCCAGTCGACTACATGGGAGTTCAGAGACGTAACCATTACACCATCTGCTGGCCCCAACTACAAATATGTTTCTAAAGGTGCAGAAAAGGTTCTGGAAGGAGACACTCCAGACTAGCAATGGCAGGGCCTGGGCAGAGCAGGGTGTAAGGGCAGGGACTTTCCTACTGCACACAACAGACTTCTGTGTTGTTTCT